ATCAGGGAAGTCTTAATGCGCTGCATAACGTAGCCGAAGCTACTGGATGGACAGTCGTCTGTATCAAACTCCATCAATTATTGCTCCATTTATTTTTCTGTAGAAATATCACACTATTCTTTAAACACACTGGTAAATACTTATTTAGGAATTGCAAGGAATAAAAAAATGAAATGACTACTGGCAAAGAGGCTATTGTTTTTCTAATCACAGTCAAAATCGTATTTCTATTAGGTACAAACCTATTTTATGTTTTAAAACATTGCTTAGCTAACTTTAGCATTAATCTTATAAGGCAAATTTGCAAAAGGAAAATAAAAAGCAGGCTGTATGGGTATTAAAACACAAAGCTATACTTTTCCAAACCTTTTAAAGTTTGAAAATTTAAATATCTGAACGACGTATTATTCTCCAAAGAAAAAGAGTTTTTATCCCAAAATTTAGAGTTGATTCAAGAACCCTACCTACTCCAATATAAGCTTCTGAGAAATCAGATTTAAATAATGAAACTGCACATGTCTGCCAAAATACAACCAGTGGGTAGATACTTTACAGACCCATTACCCGACCACATGACACTCGCATACCTAAGGTACGCCACCTTTACCATGGAACAACTCCTGCCTGTAATGTTGAGTGATCCCCTATCGCGTTCCTTCCCCTTACCTCGGCGTTCTCAATGTAGGAGAAGACGATGTAAAGGAGACGATAGAGGGCAAGACGCGAGGACTTGTTGAGACGACTGCGCGCCGAGGCGGCTGCTTTAGGACCGACGAGGAGGGAGGCGAGGAATTGGCCCGTGTCGGCCAGCAGTGAGCGCAGGTTGGGCTGTAACGTCCGTTCCACCGCCACCTGCCGACTCTCCGTCTGTGCTCGGCTTGAGTGTGACCAGCTGGAAGTGGAGGCTGAGAGGTTGATCTGGAAGACGACGGCACACGATTATGTGTGATTGTAGGGATATTTTCGAAATTTGATCTGATCAGTATAGCAATTCCCAATCGAATTCATGCCTCCAAAGTAAGAGGGAAGAGAATACTTTCTTGTCGAAATTCTCAGGTGAAGTGCACTTATTCCTACAAATATTCACCAAATTGAATTAAATGTAGGTTAACTCCCCACTCACTGCTACATATTGTATTCCGATAAAAAAACTAGCCTACTCGGACTACAAAACCTAGTTAATCGTCATCTTTGATCCAAAAATAGTCCCCGGTGCTACGAACAGGGTAAAAAAGCGAAATCCTAATAAAGTGTTAGGCAAAGAAGCTATAAATTGTTCACCTTTTTATTCTGTAAGACAAGAAATAGGGAATGGAATTTCACAAGCATTACCTACAGTCGTAAGTGTCGAAAGCCGGGTAGCTTCATAAATTTACATGTGTATTGCCGTTGCGGCTGCCCAAAAGAGATGGGCCTGGACGGCCCTACCACAAAGTGTACTTCTAATTTCTCTCCACTTTCAAAGCAAAAGTACAGCAGAACTTGGAAAATGTCCAAGGTTTTCAACTTTCGTTAGATCCTGTTTTCGGATTTTACTGAGAGTTATTTGCAAGGAGTAGGTACGACGAATGATAAATTACACGACTGAAACCACTGAAAGTTGTGAATCTAGAGAAAGTAGTTCAAATTTAATGAGTTCTGAACAGGCCAGAAAGTTGGGCGATCAACCTGTCTAATTGCAGAACAGAACAAGGCGGGGAGATCTAGCACAACCTGCAATCACTAACGGGACTAAAAATGAAATCGCCGGAAAATTTCTAGCTATTTAAGATCAGAGTCAATTAGTGCTGCGGATGCCTTTGGACCCAGAAAGCATATTCATCTGATTTTGTAGAGGCTACCATTTTCCCGACTACCTCTTGAACAGTCTAGGATATCGCATTTCCGCTAAGTGCCTTTTGATTGGCTGGTTACGCGCATAGATGTACTTTAAGTGACCTAATGCTCACTGTAAGGCCAAGGTCAATCAAACGCTATAAACAGGCAATACTGCAACCATCAATCTGTCCCGTCCAGCCGGCAGTTGATGTGTGCACGTAGTAGCTTCCTGCTTGATCATATGCGTCGGTAGATATAGGCAGCCTTATACCGGAGTCTCGTATGCTGGTCACCGTGGTTGAGAACTCGGCAGTATCCAGTCTCACACACGCAAACACTAGATCATAACAGTTCGATACCGAAAATACAAAAAAAGTACATTCTTCCTCGTTCATTTACACTTCCTGATAGCAAATTGTGAATTGTAGGTTCGTGGCGATCATATCGATGGCACAGACTCACGGAATTGACCAAAAAAACTTGGATTGACGGAATTGTACCTGGGATAAAGACCTCACAATTAAGATTATCTGACTCTTCATTCTGTGTCCTGTGCATAAAATATCCCTCAAGTTAAGCAAATATTTAAAAGTTTTACACTGGCATCTAAAATTCATGACAAATAGGAGTTGTCATTTACAATTTTTTCACCACTAAATAATTTTAAGTGCTCAGATCACTCCTCTTCCCGAATTCACAACCTTTACTAGCAGAAATCCAAGAACACATTAGCCTTTTTCATTCCGTCTCCAAATTTCCGATTTCGTGATCGGAAAGTTAAGTCAAACACCTCTCCTACTTGCTCACCTCAATGCGTTTCCGACAATAGTCAAAAAAGCGCTTGTGGCAGCTTTCAGGATCTTTCTTCAACTTGCTTGACAGTTGAGACCACGAGATGAGTAGAAGCAGTTTGCGTGCCTTGTGGATGGCCTGGCGACAGTTGAAGATCTGCACCTCTAAGGGCTCCTCACTTGAGTTGCCCAAATCGCCTTTACCATCTGCTGGTGGGAGAATTTTACCGCCAGCAAGTAGGGAAGAAACATTGCTTGCTCCATGATCTGTCGCATTCGGTGTTGTGGGTAGGGAGGTGTAGAGATCCCACAAAAAGTCCACCCCGATCAAGTCCATTCTCTCAACAGTCTTAGGGGAAATGGACTTTCCGTAAGTCACTGCCTTAACAATTAGCCCGACTGCAGCATATAAAGATTCAAGTTGTTCATTAGGCTGAACAACGTGTTGGTTACTCAAGCATTTGATCTACTCCATTTTATTTGTAAAATCTACATTTCAGAGGCTTCAGATGCTAGAAGTCAGGAATCTACCACAAATTTAGAATGCGAACGTTGGCATCATCCTAATTACTCTTCATCACTTGACAAAATAATGGCAAATTTTTTCTGTGCTCCTACATTTGACAAGTTGAAAGGATAATCGCAGGAATCATTTTAACTACTTTAAAAAGTGCCATAAAATTTGACAGGGCAATTTAGTACAGTACCTTCAGCCCTGATTTATAAATGCATAAGAATGGAAAAAAAAGAGGTTACCCAGCCATCCTGATTCATTTTAAGTCGACCTTCATTTAAATTCACTTTGACGAAGATTGACTCGAAACATTGGAAGCCTATTTATATATAACAAAAAAATACTTCAGAGGAAAATCATACGGTCTAATTTCTTTTACTCTAAGAATCGTCAGCTAATAATAGGTTCACACTATTCATTTGACCACGAAGTCACGATATTTTTAAAGAAACTCTGGACTTAACATATCCCGATTCGTCTATAAAAGTGCCTTTCTCCGATGTAACAATACAAGGATAAACTTAGTCCACTTACCCTTGAAGGTCTGAATGATGGATGGTGGAAGTTTGAGAATATTTTTGGTAAAAAGGTTATTTTGAGCGTCAGTTTCAAGCAGATCCAAGGCAGAGGCGAACCAGAGAAGTGTCTCCTATAAGTGGATGCTTTCTTGTCAAAAGACGTGTTCGCTTGGAGAGGAGTGGACTACATATAATTACCGTTGAAAGAAAAAACTCAAAGCATGGCCTGCTGGCTTTAGTCAATGAGAATTAACGAATTAAGGAACTCGAGGGGGGTCTTGTGAAAGTGAATGGCAGTTACAGATACTTTTACTTTACTTATTCAGAAATGTTTTACATCTACATCCGCTTAGTCAAGAAGGGTGCGCTAGACAAAAAAAATAATGAGTAAATATGGGAATTCTTAGTTATCCAGTGCTCGCAACCAGGTCATAGCGAGGGCATTATAATCCATTTAGATGCAAGAAACCGCAGAGTGTCATTATTTTCTTCAAAGGTTGAGTGGAAGTGACTAGACAGACTTACCTCAACGCTAAAGAGAACAACGCCATAGTCATTCACAAGGGTGTCCCAAATGTCCTGAGTCCGATCCCCAGATAAGTGAAGGTCAGCTGTGCTCAGAAGGTAATGAAGCACATCCAAGTGCCGTTTGATCAGCTAAATTCATCGTAACACAGAGATCTCGTCATTACGGATAGGTGATGATCACTTGTATAATGAAAAAGACGTGTGACTAATCGAAAAACAATGAAAGATGAAATATCCCAGTAGCTTTCACTTCAAATGAGAACACAATAAAAATCCGTCAAGTGATTGAGAGCTATGGAAAACTACCTCGTCAAGAGCACTCTCCAAATCGTCTTGGTAGTCTAAGAAGCTTTACTAAATAGTCAAATCCTCTCCAACGACGACTCACATCGCTGTGTCGAATGCTTTTGTCGCGTTCATGGTCGGTAGATTTTGCAGGAGAGGAGGAGACGACTAAATGTTTCGAGGTGGCAGCTTGTTTTTGCAGACGATGTAACGAATTGCAAACGGTGTCGATGAGAGAGTAAGTCTTGTTGAGTTCTCGCAATGTGTCCTTTAATGGAGAACAAAACATTGCGGTCATAGGAACGGAGGTGGGAAATTTGAACACCTCAGTCATACGGGATTGTGTTTCAATCAACTGAGAAAGTAAAGGTGTCGTGGAGATTAATCTGGATCATTTCTTATTTACAAAAAGTGCGTCGGCTGCAGGCTTTACAGACATTTAGCAATAAAATAGGGAAGGAGGATAACGCAAGCAGCTCCTGGTGCATGTACACATGCTCCCATAGTACAACTTGTAGTTGAACCATTATATTTGATGACACGATGCCATTTTCACACTGTAAGTGTCTTGAAACAATCGCTTCCTCATCCTAATTTAAATGTCCAAAGCCCAAAGCCTTCTGAAACTGCTAGCTTTTTTTTCTTTGAACCAAATCAAAGAAATCACTTGTTCTAAGTGATGTGTGTTCGCCTCATGAAGTTTTATTTCTGCGATATATTTCATCATTAATTGGACTCACAGGAAGAGTTTGGCGAAAAGCCGCTCCTTTAAATTCGGGCGATAATGGTATCTGGAAATACCCGAAAATTTAACCAGAAACAACCCCAAGTAAGCAATCTGGGCGCAGCAGTATGGATGTTAGAATTACCTTATATAAGGTGCATTTTATCAAGGCGTTTAGCCGATAGATGAGGCAGGCACTTGACGACAGGGAATTACAGTCAGAATGGCGGTGATACGATCCAAAGGAAGTTGCTTTGGCGTGAATCTCAATCCCACTAGCATTATATTTACCAGGAGAAAAAAGCCCTCACGTTTTTACTTTGCGACCTTTTTCGAGAACGTGAAATTTTATGATTAATGGACATTTTACAAGTCCCATGTTGAGAAATTGCGACTTTCACGCAATCAGCACTTGATTTTTTTTCCAGTACCTATGTAGTTAGGCAGTTTAATAAACCACAAAATTGTTTTCAAAATCCCTGTTTTAAGTCCAGAAGCGACATCGAGTCAAAGTTCTTTGCTTCGCCATTAACATGGGCATAGATGGCCTTGGAAAAATAATCAGTGCTTACGTGGAGATAGAAGCTCCATTAAAAAATGTCAAGTGAAGGTGCAACCTTTGACCTGACCAGTACAAAGTGCCGAATACCCATTAACTGGTCATGATTGTACGCTATGTAGAATGTATTAAAAGTTGTCACAGTGGGTCTAAACCCAAAAGTTACTAGTAGCAATTTGTCGGTGATATTAAGATGAAGACGTGATCCCTTACTTTCACTGTGAAAAAGACAGAACGCAGCTGATGTTAGGCGATGACACACCTATCAGTAAAACTAACCCCGCATTCCGCTTTAAGACTATAGCGGTATGGGAGATAATAATCTTCAGTCTCCTCCGAATCTTGCAAAGGAGCAGTGCTATTGTATTTCAGCATCTAATACAAATTTAAGATGCAGTATCCCTTTCTAAAGAGGAACTGCAGGCCTGTAACTGAAACCACCAAAACAGCCTCTTTCATAAGTAGCATAGCAAACTGGTAACTGATGGAAAAGCGTTCTACGTGGCAGAAAATGCGGAAAAGAGCGTCTATGTGGAAGCGAGTGCGTGTGTATGGGTGTTTGCTGTCAAAGTTGGCATTCGCGAAAAACTGACGCAACACTGGTCTCAATCTGGGGTTCATATTACCTTCTTGCTACGGCCGGGCAGGGGTTTGCATATTAGATCCAGTATGGTCTGCAGGAAGTCCAGCACGTAATAAGTCGATTTTCCCTAAAAAAGAAAAGGAAAGCGTTAACATAGCGATATAAACAGATGAGTGGCTTTTCAGTTCAGTGGAGGTATTTTTCTTACTAAAACTAAACAACAGCCAACCGAATCGCAGCAGAATCAAGACAGGATAGCCAACAGGTGAACTAGACATCCTCAAAACAACTGCGTTAAGTATTCGATTGCAGTCTAGGAAGGAATTAATCAAAAATTAATTTGTCTTCAAGCATCAAAAGAAAGGATTTCAAATTTAACCTTAAGTTCCCACTTCGTAATTATCTATCAAGGGCCATTATTAGATTACCTTAAGGGAAAATGAGGGCGAATCCCATATTAATAGGCTTTACCCTTTTCAGTTCCTCAGCAGCAACAGACAACCACGTGTTGAGCCGATGGCGCTGCTCGTTTGCAGGCAATCGGCACTCCCGGAGGACAATCAGCAGCTGCGCTATCGCCGCTTCGGTATGCTCGGGATTTGGTAAACAGGGATGATGGATTGAGACTCCCTCGTCTACACTATTATGACTGGCACCTCCATTTCCACTCCCGCTGCTGCTACTCAAGGCGCTGACGAGTCGTTCAAACCGTCCAAAGGTCGCCTTTCCCTTTTCCTCTCCGGCCACAGAATTCGATTTGGCGTGCTCGGGTGACTTGGGATGCAGACCATGGGAGAGTTGCCAAAGAAGTTGAAGACAGAGATCAGATACCCAGACCTCACGCGAAGTGATGGCAGTAGTAGCAACGAAATTGAGAAGTCGGGCGCGCGCGTTACGGATGGTGGACGGCTCCGTGGTGGGCTGTCTGACTGATGTAGTGGTGGTGGTGATGGAGAGTTTGTGGCGGTACCGATGCTTCATGCTCATCTTGTTGGACCCCGAGGATCGACTGAACTGAATGCATGCTTGTAGATCTAGGGCACTCCAGCTCTGTCAAAGGGGAGAGAAGTGAGTTAGGTTGCCTTTCGCGCCGCTTTAGGTCCTTCAATGCCATAAATTTGGCCAATGCTTCATCAAGCGAATTGAAATAAATTTTAGAATGTTATACTTGCGCCTCTTTTTTATGTATAGAGGTAATAAAAGTTTTCACATCCTTTAGAATCTCACTTTTTCCAGATAGTCAATGATAGTCTTGAAACAAATCAGACAATGTGCAAATAAATGAAACCATTTATAATTTAGTGTGATGTTAATTTACTGGGGTGATCAAAGTAGTTAAAATTATAAAGAGCTGGACAATGTTTTTCACTCATTACGCTAATAAAGAGTATTTAGTAGGCGTCTCAATTACTTTATAAGCTTTGCCGTCTATGAGCAGAATAAATTTGGCATTTCATTATCAATGGAAAGTAAGCAAATGACACAAGGAGAGCATACTGAATAAGTGGAACACCCAGCCTTCTGTACTTTGTATCAAGGGAAGTCTGAGAAACCTTTTGTACCAGATTTCTTGTGCGAGACAACCACGTTTGTGTGGTTCAATTGGGAGGAAGAGGAAAATCGGTGATGCCTCACCGTCATTAACTTTAATTTCATCCCTCTTGGAAGTGACTTTCCATACTGGATGAGTATTAGATCCATGATGTTGTAATTTATTTCATGTCAATGAGTGACTATCCTCACTTATTTTCTCTAAACGTGCCTCTTGAAGGTTACCATTTAAAAACTTCCAATACCTCCTAGTTAAACTAGCTAAAAGCAATTAAAGGACTTCCACAAGTGGTTGCAAATCACTTCAGTGGTGAATTTCAGGGGAGAATAAAGAATCTTAAGTGAAGATGATTATTTTCGATTACTATGCATGCCAAGATGCCATTCCACAAAAACCTCATCGTTAAGATAGCAAGGGTTTATCGATAGAACAATGAAATCAATAAACCTGTTCTTCACAACAGACACCAAAGTACCCTCCGATTCCAAAGAAATGTATTCGCCAGTTAGCCTAACCTTCAGTACCCAACTTACATCTCTAACCAGTTGGAGGACATGCTCGAACTGCGCCTGATTGAAGCCATTTGCTCCAACCTCAGAGAGTAGCTTGAGGATGTTGTTGATGCCTTCGTTGCTCTGGGTCTCCTGACACTTCCACAAGGCCGAGATGTCTTCCATTGTAATGTGGTCTCCAAGACAACGAAACAAATCGCACAGCGTTGCCACGTAGGTCACATTATCCAGGTTGGCTTTATTACAAATAACAGCAGTCAGAGTATTGTCCATGAAACGCTGGTGAAGTTTTCGCCTATTACTTACGTCGTTCAGATGGAGGTGCCTAAGTTTTGCATTTCCCTACAGAAGCTGCGGATGTGGTTGGATAGTATGAGGGATAGGGCTTACACGTGAAAGAAATTGAGGGCACGACTCCAGTTTAGATAGTACCATCACATCTCAATGTTGAATATTCTCCCATTCGAAAGCCGGGTCACAGAGATTCCTTCAAGTTAAATTATATATTCCTAAGCTGTTAGGCAGATAATGAAGTGTCTCTAGGCATCAACTTATTTCCAGGCTTTTTGTAATACCCTCAGCAAAATTTACAAGAAGGGTTGGTGGAAAGTTGCCATGTGTTTCCATAGGAGATGAACGGCACTTAAGCGCACCTAACACATATTTAGGAATGCATAAAAACAACCAGAAAGTAATGTTCAATAATAATCTACTCTGCATCCATAAAACGACTTTACTTGTCAATGAAAGGGGGACAGAATACATTATCTGATGCCGAGTTGCGATTGCCTCCCTGCCAACTATATACATTAACAACCAGGAAACAGTCAAATCAGAACCATATTCTTAGTTTAAGTATTGTGAGCATTGCATAACTATATCTTAACCGGAACCGGCATTAATATCATTAGTTGTAAACCATGACGACACAGAAAATAATTTCCTGAAGAAACAAATGATGATTCTAATCTTAGACAGCGCAGAACTTACTCATTATTGACCGAACGACTGCCTTTTCCCCAATCCACGTCATCAGCACATCGTATCGAATGAGTCGATGCAGCCTACGTCGGCGCAGAAAGGCCTGGTTCTCCGCCGCCAAGATGGACGTTGAAGTGACCACAGGAGAGGCGCCGGAGGCAGCGAGACCTGATTTGGACGCAGCGCTGCTTGAGCGCACCTGTTGAACGGCGGAGAGCTGATCAATGAGATGGCGAGTGGCGAGTATTCGCACCTTGAAGGAGCTGGAAACGCCGGCAGGTGGGCAAAGGGAGGAGAGCAGTATAGCCAAATGGCGCTCGTCCACATGTGCTACAGAGAAGACAGATGTTGTTGGAGGAAGAGAAGGACACTGTTTCATCAAGGCGTCCCAGTCGGGCTGGCGGGGATGGGAGAATTCCGCGAGGGTAAAGGAAACAGCTATATTCACTTCATTGCTGCTGTCTGTGCTGTTTGACAGTGCGGCGGAGCGATAACAGAGTACCCGGAGGGAGGTGATGAGATCGAACACTCGTGACTTCTGTGGATTAAAGTCTTCTGAGGTAAGATTGTGGATGAGCCACAAGGTGCGGATCATCAGCCAGCTGGAGTATCGACACATCGCCTCCAGTGTTAGGTATTCTGCCACGTTGGCCAGAGGTCCTAGTACTGATTGCATCATCTATAGGAGAAACAAAACAAACTTACCATCAGTACATATACAATAGACAGTTAGGTCATTCATTTCATTGCGAATTCGGATAAATTATTTCAATGTTTAGCCATCAGGTGACCATGCCAAATTGGGTAAGGCAAACAAGTAATTTAGAGACAAGACTTTATTAACATACCGGAGAAAACACTGTCATACCCGAATTTATATTTTTGGGGCTTCTGTCTCGGTGCCTTGCGAGTTTGAATAGCCGTAGGATGGTAAGAGATCATTAGACGGTTAATCAAAATACAAAGAGAACAAACAAGCTAGAGTGGGTAATTAATCAGCCGAACGGGATAACCTTTTCAAAGATACCATCAGTGTTTCATTTGTGTGAGAGGAAAAAATCGCCGCGGCTCTCGAATCCAACTTACAGTCGGCCAGTCATCAAAGGGTATGAATCATGCCAACGCTGGCTGGCCTATGATTTGCCAGCCAAGGCTGGTTTGCCAGAAAAAAGGAAGTGGGCAGAACTCACAGAGGGATGGTGCGACTCACCTTGAGAGGTAAATGCTGACGTGTGCCGTACCAGAGGATCAGATCAAACCCCCCGTGTGCTCCGAAGCAGTTGAGCAAATTAACAAGATAGAAATTCTTTGGTGCCGGCAGGGTCTCCGCAAATACGCGTCTCTCACCTCCACTATCCTTCGTCGGACCCCAGTTATTAAATTGATCACTAAGAGTAGTAAAGTTGTAGGTAAAGTGCTTATTTAAATTTGGGAAATTTATGCAACACAATTTTCTGCGGAACAGCAACTACCAGCAACATATAGATTGATCAAAACAGAAAACAACGATGTTCTTTGACAAATTAAAACTTGGCGCAGTAGTCTGGCATCCCAGTACTTTAAAACTTAACTCATTTTTACTCCTCGAACACGAAACTTGTCAGGACTACGCAGACTTTTGTATATTTGGGCAAAATCGGAGCCATGTATTAATAGCTTGTTTGCAATGTGCTTCATTTCTGGATAGCAAACAAGAAAAAAATGTCTTGATGAAAGTTCCTTCGATCTCCACAACAATTCCAAGTCAGCATGTTTTCTTAGTACTTTTTCAAAATTGAAAAACAAGTTTAGCTAAGATTAGATCAATCACGTTGGGCGCATAAAATGTAAATGAGTCCACTTCTCAAAGAGCTTTTGAGAGGCGGTTTCCAATAGGGGCTTGCCTTTACTTAGTAAAGTTATAGAAAGGCATCCACGGCTAAAACGTTATTTTGAGCACTTTTGCTTTATATAGCTGAAAACTGCTTAAGCAAAATGACTATCATACTCGCAGGTAAGTTATCATCGACAAACACATGAAAGACGTGCAACAGAAATAACAATATGAAATCTGCTGAAACACTTTGTATAAATACAGAACCGGAGAGCAAAACTAACACATATGTCCCAGTGTTTGTGGTTCTATCACGACAGCGTTGGTGGTAGCTGCATTCTGGGTTGAAGGTTGCTTCCAAATAAGAAAAGGCCAAAACCATAAGGTTCTGATAGTCAGATTTTTGAGAAGATTGTTGACCGTGGGACACAAAACTCTTTCCAACAATCAGACATTCGATAGCCAGTTGGATAACTAATTCCAACATATTATGGACTCCTTCAAGGGTCTCCGCATCCCACTGAAGAACAGCGCCTGACGTAAGAAACTAAAACGGACAAACATATATGAGTTTGATCGCCACAGTTGGAAAAGAAGTATTTTAAAAAAATTAACCAACAGGCACATATTTCCACTCACTCTGCTACTCTCCTGTTAAGCAGACTATGATAAACACAGACCTAGGTAAGTTAAATTCCTAATAGTTAAAATTTTTGGTAAACGTTTTCTGCAAGCATTCCAACACACACTTTATTTTAAAAACACTAGAACGAAAGGGAAAATAAATATTCCACAGCTAGTCAGGACTACAAACAGCTTGCATTTTCTTCATTTCATGAAGTAAGGAAACTTAAAACACCTGGGAGAAAGCAAGCATCAGGGTGTAATATAAGGTTCCAGGAGTTTAAAAATCAGATTGTGGGCAGATATGTCAGTTAAAAAGTTCACCTTGCTCAAACATTCGTTCAAATATTTTGTCATGAAACGTTGGAGCGCTTCCGTGGAGACAAATGCAGGTAGTCCTCTGCACTTAATTATACGGATAGCACTTAATAAACATAAACCAAGAGGTTGAGACCGCAAACAAGGTATATTCCATTTTTCAATGTATAGTGATTCTTCAAGCGTTCTGAGTTTATCGATGGGAAAATCGTCATCTGCGACCGATTGAGAGCCGACCTTCTCATCGGATGGGAGATCTTGAACCTTGGTTGATGGTACGAAATTTCTCTGCAAAATAACCACCATCAGATGTTACACAAGACTTTCTTGAAGCAGCAGTACTGTCCTTAAAAATTATCCAAGAAATGGTAAACAATATCACTTATGGGCGAGAAGACGTGATAAATACGGGTGTCAACTTCCTAACAATCAAAGCAACCTGCTGAAACATAAAAAACAACTAACACTTATGCGTGTTTGAACAAAATCAGGCAAAATAAGCAGTTCATGTTAAAATTTTTCCGAAATACCAAAAATGTGACACACAAGCAGTCGAAAAATACCGCGTACGTTGACTAGAAAGGTAATTGCAGAATCAATGTCATTTTCACAAGATGATAAGGCCTCCTTTATTTGTAAATCATTTCCAAAGCCCATAAGTTGCAATTTTCGTACATTCGAGGCGTATTCATCAACCACCTCAGGCATACTTAAAAGCCGCTATACTAAGGACGTATGACGAAACATACGAATCAAGAGGTAAAACAAACAAATATGCAACAAGGAATGAGCATGTCTTTCAGGTGCTATTGCTTATTTGTCAGTTTTTGCAAGCTTACATTTCATCTACGGAGGCAGCTTGGGCATACCAGTTTTATGCCAACATGGTCATTTATGGAAAATAAATAATGAAACTGCTTTGAAAAGTATAATAGATCAATCACTTTGCTCAAAACTCAATAAAAATGTTTTAGGCTACACCGAAAGTATGATGTAGCGTCCCGAGACTCCCTGAAGACGAAAGAAGACACAATGCTCGGGCAGAATACATATATTCAGCAAGGAGAAGGTGTCTGGGCCAGCCCACTTAGCGGGGTACAAGGAGGCTACTTCAAAGCACCAAAGTAGCGCCTCTCCAATACCGATGGGTAAACCACTATCGTATTACAATGATATGCACTATAGTGCTTCAGATTTCTTTGGACACCTAGCATGAAGACTGTACAGTCGGAGGGAATTAAAATCTGCAGATACCTCAATGCTCGTTAATTTTGCCACTGTGGATTTTTAAAACCAAGAAAAAGACGATAGAATACATAATACCTAAGCGGAATACACATATATGACATACAGTAGGGCTTGTGGCTAAAGGCATTACCCGGACACCATCCCAACTAAATGCCTTCATTACAGCGCCTTTGGAGATTAAAATATTTTTTTGACAAATTAGGCATGGTACTGATAAACAATAGCTGTCTAGGAATTAATTTTGGTACGAAATTACTTTATGTCTTGGCCGTTGCACCTTCACCGGGTGGTCTTGCCTCTGGGTCATGCAAAGGGCCCCAATCCGTTTTATACATCAAAAACATATATTCATCTTTAGGAGAGTCTCGGAGTGCAATGTTGGTGACAGTGGCAACCAAATCGGATCCTAAAGCACAGCAGTTTTAATTTCTACTGTCAAGTGACAAAATTTAGCTGGACAAAAGAAATGCACATGCTATTAATGTGAGAATCTCTGACGACTTATAACAGAAGAATAAAGAATGACGTCTACTTTCGGCAAATACCCAAACCCCGTGGTTTGCAGGAGATCTGTTAGCATTGGAGGTAGCATTAGCCTTGAATCATCTAAAAAAGATTCGGGACAGATTTGGCTACCGTATCTGTACAAAGATATCAATGATGTGGACTCGTGATAACTCCTTTACTTTTATATTAGCTAAATGAAACCCAGATAGATGTGATTAGGCAGCTCTTAGGTGAGACTAAGGTAGTAAAATAAACAGACCCAAAATCCCTCCTTCAGAATTGTGTTAAATCTCGCCCTCTCCTACATAAATCTCTTTTTAGGATAGTGTTCCTCCGTTTAGGTATGCACATGAGTAATAGATAGCCGGATTCCCATTTCCTTGAGTCCAATTCCATATGGTGAGAAGCTGGGCGGCATAAAGGCCAACTCACTCAGCCAATTGGTCAAGATCGCAACCAAAAGCCCCCAAAACTCCATATCACCTCGCTTTACCAGATGACCAACAGGTGGTCAAACGCAACACCCTCTCATCGCGTCCCTTTGTGCTATGCCCCAAGATCAGGTCAGCCTTCCCTTTCCCTATCCTATTCGCTCCCAAAGGGCTCCAGATAAAATAGAATGACGTCCGTGCAACTTCCTTCTCTACTTGGGGGCAGCTAAATCCATGGTAAATCACCAGGCTTTTCCTACCATTTGTAACAAGTTTAAGATCCTTTTTTGTTCCTACAAAATTGCGTTAAGTAGAAGGGAGATGCTGGCAAAAGAGAAGAGATTGTTGGAAGTCAGCACACGGAAAGAAACCGGAACAGTGAAGTTTATTATGTGTCCAGGACTGGCTCGCGAAGTGATGCTTGATGGTGATTTTTACACTACACCATAGCTGTCCTAAATTTTGCAGACGACACCTTTTCCACCCAGCATGTCATTAAAGCTAACACAGCCGCTTCGCCACCAAGAGAAGACACAGGTGACATCTGTAGCGCTCCTTTTGAAGCCGCAGCCTGGATGACATTTGCACACAGCTGACTCAAAATATTGTGATGACGAGGGGAAGGAACTCCTCGAGTTGTTGATTTAATAGACAAACGTATTCTCATGGCAAGGTACTAAACTGAGGCGAAAAAGTATCGTCAAGCCTAGAATAGATACTGGAGAAGCTAGACCCATCTGGTAGCCACCCAGACGTATTCCACCTCCTCTGCCAGAAGAAGTAAATAGTCCGGTGGAAGAGATGATTCGAGATGAGGTTATGAAACCATCAAAGTCACTATGAGCCTCTTTGATCGTGCCGGTAAAGAAGAACTACAGTAGCCCACGTTGCGTATCGAATACTGGAAGCTGAACACCGCAACTAGGATAGATGCATTCCCATTACCCCACATAAACGATTTGTTAGACTCCTTACACGGGTGAAAGTGGTTCTCAACCCTCGTAGAATAAATTGACAGAAAAAATACAACTTTTATATTCCCAAATGGACTTTGTAAATTCCAAACAATGCCCTTCGGACTTTGTAACATTGCGGTCACTTTCAACTCCTGAAGTAAGTAGCATCAATAAGTTTATTTCCAAAACATTGTTGAATCCACCTTGACGAATTTATCATTTTTGGTTAGGATATTCGGGAGCATAACGCCAATTTGGAACTAATACTTTACCTTCGACCAATAAATCCGAAGAAATGTCGTTTCCTACAACGCTTGGTTACATCCTTGGGATATACAGTCTCGTCAGATAGGGTTGCAGTCACCGAAGGCCGTACAAAATAAGTGAGGACATGGCCAACGCCAACCAATCAGACGGAGCTGAGCAGTTCCCCAAGCTTGAGAAATTTCTACAAGCATTTTGTCAAAGATTTTGCTAAGATCTCCAGTTAGCTGCATGATGAAGCTTTTAAAGAACCAAAGCAAATGCTCTGCTCCGCACTGATTTCAGCAGTGCCAAACTTTGGATTGAGTTTCCCACGGCTTGTCCTGGTTACGGACGCAAGCAATGCATCTGTGGGCGGTGTACTCTCACAAAAGGACAAAAAAAGAAGGAAACGCATCATTGCCTGAGCGAGTGCCAGCCCCGTCAAAAACATGCAATTCAAAAGTGTAACACAAGGCGAGCTGTACACTCCCTTCACAATGGTTAAACCCTTCAGACACCACCTTATGGCGAGGGAGATCATAGTGAGAAAGGAATATCAGGCGCCTGTCTGGTTAAAGCAGTGAAGGAGTTCGACCAATCATGTGCACGCTGGTACGAGGAACTGCAGTGATATGATTTTACAGTTCAATACAAAAAAGGAAATACGCATAGTACCAATTCCGACACGGCTCTGATATACGATAAGTTCCTGACATCCTCTTCTGGCTCCCCAGTGAAGGAGATGACCTCGTCCAGCAGTGCGGTCAGGCAGATACGGCAAGAAAGGTTGAAACTCCGCCCGGAGGATGCCATTTTATAATACCAAGAGGAGGTCGAATCTCCCAAGCGCCTACTGGTTACTGGCTCTTTAGTACAAACGCTTCTTTAAGAGTACCATGGGCAAATGGGCCAGGTGGGTGGAAAGAACATGCTAAACCCCTTATGCAAAAGAAATTGGTGGTCTTTGCTCACTCTAGAAGTACTGGATTTTTATCGAAACTGGGACACTTGCAGCAGATTTAAAAAGCCTTATCCTACAGCGATTACACTACCTTAACCCATGCCCATAGGTTTCCCAAGGGGAACAGAAAGTATAAACATTATGGATCCTCTACCATCTACCAAAAGAGAAAGCTGATATATTCTGGTTATGGCAGACCCATTAACGTTAGTAGCTGAGGCAGGATCCATAAAGGCACAAGACGCTGAAACGATTGCCTCAGTTTTCTTCAGTCGGTGAATTTGTCAGCTTGGACTGTCCCTATCCTTTCATATCTATCGAGGTCCCAATTTAGAAAAAGGGCTCTCCACTGAACTATGAAAGAACTTCCGGATCTTAAAGACAGGCACTACACCTGAGCGCAAACAAGGCAATCGACAGGTGGAAAGAACAATTTGCAGTTTGATTGGATTACTAAAGGTTTTCACTAAAAATGTACAACCAGAAGACTAGGATTTGGGTCTGGAATTTGTCCTTCACGCGTACAGGGCTACAGTCTATACATCAAGAGTGCTTTTCAATATCTTCAAACCAAACATGAAAGTAGCAATCAACAGTGCCCCCACGTACGCTCTGAGATGAAAGACTGTCTTATATCGAGCAGAAGAAACATAACGACAAACATCCAGACTAACGTCGACCGAGAAGGCGACTTAGCACAAGTATAGTAGCCGATTCCCCCACCTGGAACACACCGCACGTTTTATCACCCTGGGAGCAAAATTCCATTTTGAGAGGTGAAAGTTCTCCCACCTGCAAACTTCCTCGTCTGCAACCCACAACCCTGTACCCAGCTAAGAACCTTTCACCACAAAAGATGCAGCTCTACAAAGGTACACCACCGGCTGGATACGAGGGTAAAGTGTACGCATTAACAGAAGAAAGAAAACCACCGGTGCTAAAAGAACGAGGGTGCTATTTAAAATTTGTGCTCTGCACCTTTTGGAGAGGAAGCAAGTAGCTGACTCGAACCTCGTGCTAGGGCAGAGCTGTCACCCGATCCTCCTGGACCTGTACCTATTCTCGCTGACTCTAACTAATAAACATATCCCAATCAAGTCAGCCTATTTGTTCAAAGGGTATGAAGACCAGAGAAGAGATAAACGAGGAACGTACTACACAAGTGTCTGTTCAGTTGTACAGAAACTAGATGCCTAAAACAGGTGTCACGTAGTTCGTTCTTAGCACCAACTGAGTTGTGATGGCTAATACAGGGGTCTGACTAAGGAAGCGCTAGGGATGCAGCCCAAGAGAGGAGAGGGACTACGTAATGCGTTCGTTGTTTAAGTCTAGGTGCTGGTACAGGGCCACTTGGTGCCTTGGCCATTGCAAGTTCGCCAGGTAAGCTGGTCTCTGAGGTATGCTAGTAGCCCTAACCCCCTCTATTTATCGATGGTGTATATTCTGTCCTAGTGTTGTGTTTTCTTTCGTTATTATGGTTGTCTTGGTGCCCTTCAGCCACCATGAGTCATGGCATGCATTTATAAAATTTTAGTTTCCAGCATTAAAAATTTTGTAGACAATATAACAGAACTCTGACAAATGTTTATTAATAATCACTGAAAAATTGCCAAATTGTTGACTTCTAAATAGTGTTTTTGGGCCGAACTTTTCGTCCATTCATTATGCAGACATAGGCACAAATATCAGGTAGTTTAAGCATTTTTTAAAAATTTTATCAAACAGCGTGCAGTTATTGGAAACTTTTATGGTCTTGACGCATAGTTGTTCTAATACTTAACTACAAAGAAGCGGTCTTCAAGTAACGTATCGGTATTCGGCTCCGTCTGAGAGTTCTAAGCGTTTTTTCTCGTATTACTAGCTAAATTTCTACCTCACGTGTACGTTTATTATTATACCATCGTATGTTCTTTAATTAATCAGGATTCTCCTTGAAATGGGTGGTGTCTCTGGCGAGCCACTTGTCAATAACTTCAAGATCCCCTCCTGGTAATATTTCTAAAAATTAGAAGCCTATTTTTAGGGCTGCCAAACCACCAGCAGGTGTACATCTAGATGTCATGAAGGATGGCAAGCTCATTCAGGTACTAACTTTCCTGCTTATTGACTCTTAACTGTCTTCTTGCTTAATTTTATCCTGAAAGCCCAGTTCGAGATTATTAATTCCACTGGACTCTATTCCCGTAATTTCATCATTTGCCATGTGCGAGTGTAAATGCATGAGCATCCAAGTCTCTTGATTTTGCGTTGCAGAAGTTAATGATGGATGATAAATCATGCTACTTCTTTGGACGCAATCGTCAGCTTTGTGATTTTGCCATCGACCATCAGTCGTGTTCTCGTATTCACGCTGCTTTAGTGTGGCATAAGAACCTAAATCGTGCGTTCCTCATCGATCTTGGAAGTGTTCATGGAACTTTTATCGGGCGAATCAAACTCGAACCGGAGCGCCCACAACAGGTAAACTGCATTTTCTAACGTCGAGCATAGTTTTATTTTGCAAAAACCTTCCAGAATGCTGCTCTTTCAGGTTCCTGTTGACTCGGAGATTCACTTTGGGGCCTCTACGCGGGTCTACATAATTCGCGAACGTCCAAATCCAATTATAAACTCTTCCACTGCCGAGGCAGACAGGTTGATAAAGGAGGCTGCAGATGCCACCGGCAACGCCAACAAGCTCCCACAGAGCGAGGTCGAACTGGATAATCTGACTCAGTTTAATACGGCTCATAATCGCCGAATTGCTGTGAGCGATATGCAGCCACCCACCGTGTCAGCCGTACAAAGAGGCCGGCGGAACTCACTTAATCAGCGCCACAGTGTTCACTTCAGTGACATTGAAGAGGTGATCAATCCTGAGGACGTGGACCCCTCCATCGGTCGCTTCCGGAATCTCGTTCAGGAAACTTTCATTCCCAATAAGGCAAGACTAGTTCCCGTTTGTTGAAGATGCGTTTCGTTACGTTTTCCCTCAAGCCTATTCCTTACTTGCCTAGGGCGCGGATAAGCACGAGGGAGCGGATATTGGTATTGCTGCACCCAAGCCTAGCCTAACCCCACCTACATCTTCCAACACCGAAACTGCCACAAATCAATCGACTCGTTCGGCAGCTGCAGTGAGCAACCCTAGCTTTACCTTGGCCGCAAAACTGGGTTTACCAATGCCGAATTTAGCGCCCGAAATCGATTCAGTGGAACCACAAACCGCATCCCTGTTGCACCGACTACCGACAATGGCGGCGACGCGCCTTTCAGCGGAGGACATTTTAGGCGGACCGCTTCCAGGACCCAAGGAAGAAGGCACCACTGGTGCGAAGCGATCTGCCACCGCCTCCTCTATGGGTGAAGAGGCCGAGAGCTCAGCACCAAAGAAGAAAAAGTACGCCAAGGAGGCGTGGCCCGGTAAGCGACCGGGATTCCTTGTGGGTCCCTCGGTCGCATGATATTGACCTTCCACCTCAACTTTTCTTTGTACATTATTGTTTTCATGGGAAAATAAGGCATTGTATTTGTAACCAACAAACCTTGCGCGATTTGGCGGCCGACCTCCTCTTCGAAGGCATTTCCCCATGCGCCACCATGCGGCCAGCGATGGGCAGAGACCTAGGTGCCTCGATACCCCTGTAACGCGACATAGACTGCGTGACTCTACACAAGTACTGCTCATAGGACTGAGTCACCCAAAGTTGCTGCATTCCTTGGGCATCAAATGCCGACTACTTGAGAGGGGAAAAATGAGATTCTGGAGTATTTGGGGGGAGGGGGGTGGTTAATACATAAAACCTCCAAAAGCGTTGGGAAACTAACAAATGTGTACCCCCAAGCCAGCGCAGGTGCAATTGACACCCTAGGTAACTTTCCTCAGAGAGGCGGGTATACCACGAGCGGAGGGAACACGACAGCCCGTGCTATTCGAGAGAAGTCTAATAATACCAGCAGCAAAGTCAGACCCATCTACCCCACTTGAGAAGACCTGGTCAGCATATATCCGAATCGACCATTTATTTGTACAACTACTCATTCTCCGTAAGCCTTATCTTGGCATTGGGATTAACAATACGAATGTTCAGTTCCTTTGCACGTTCTACGATCTTGACGCGATTTTTTCTTGAAACCGTCCTAGAAATCACACCCGCGTGGGTGCGATGTTGCATCAGTAAGACTTCAAGTTCCTAAAAACATGATTAAACATGTCAAGGGATACCTTGACATTGTTGATTAAAACATGTTTGAATCCATCTGGATGAATGTGCCTAACGCGCTTGGCCGTCCGGTAGCCGATATTTGGCATACGAATCTGACCCTTAAAACGCCGACGAACCCTGTTGTCGATACCCTTCGGCTTACGCCACTTATCGCCAAGACGGACGTAGCGGTCGCTCTGGTGCCTGTGCCACTTCTTGGGGTGCTTCTTCACAATCTTCGGGTGGGGTAACGGTTTAAGCGCCATTCTACACAAAAAATGCCAGGACTTTACTCAGATGCATCAGAAAAAAGGAGAAATACAAACACTCGAATTAAACTCACACGGGGAATTACGAAGTGCGCACGAACCATCATCAAAGCGCTAAAACAGCGATATCTGTCCGGGACAAACTATTGTTTAATAACTTTGTCAAAAGTAGGCTTTTTATACTAACGGCTTTTAGGAACTAATAGTTTTTGCTTAATTTTTAGAAACGAGTTTTTACTAGGTAATCGCAAAAAAATGAACAACAGTAACTACCCATTGCATATAGATCACTTTGGATGAATGTGGAAAATTTATGCATCGCCCTCAACTTTTCTCACATTCGCCTCCTGTTTAAAGCTCTTAGCTTGAGAAGACTGGTCCGTGAGGGCAATGTTAATCACAATCGCGAGCTTTTGTCATCTGTTTAACTCACTTCAACGGAACGTTATGCCTTTACACATCAGTGTTGTCTTGGCCACTGGGATATTCTAACTTCCCCTCTTGCTACCTAAGCCGTGTAATCAGGTACGTAGCACACCCGTTCAATACTCATTTTCGCAATAGTTGCCTATAACTTTCTCTGGGCACCTTTACGTTTTATCGCACAGACTCCGCAGCTAGAAGCCCTACAGCCTACTCTCATTTATTCTCGCTGATTATGCATCAGCTGTGATTTATGCTGAAGAAAAAGCTGATCTAGCCATCTTCGCTCCCGTGAAGGAAACACAAAACAAGTATATGCTGGTCATACGCTTAATTAAGAGACAACAAGCTGCCGTCTAAGTGCACACAGAGAGGGGAGGGGAGAGAGAGTACAATGATTGGAATTGCAATTCAGGAGCCAGAGGAGTCCCGATTCACCAGAGATTTGCTGAAGGTTACACGAATTCGGGCGGTGGGGCTCATTTGATAGGTGTCCACTTTCTGAAGAGCCAAACGAGTGAAGCATAACTCATCGACAGGGAAAAATAACGATAAAAATGTTTATATATGTGAATCGAAAAAAAACGTACTATGAGTGCGTTCACAGCATCTGCAAGATTCGCATACTCCACCAGAGCCATCCTCTTATCACGACTGAAAGGAAGATGAAACAACCACATCATTAGATTAGTCATGAGACCTATGTACGACGTAAAATGAAAACCAGACTTCGGAAGTTCCGAGAAAGAAAATGTGGTTAGGAGGTGCCCAAATAGACGGGAATTTCAGTTTTCAGATGACTTCTTTATTGAAAACTACTTTAACCATAAAGCGAAGATTTGGACCGAAAAAATATAAACAAAAGAAGTTGGGCTATTCAAATCCAACAAGGAAATTTGTGTTAGATTAGGATATTTCGAGGGTCTCTGCAAGTCCCGACTAGATGTGACAATTGCCCCTGTAGAACCCTGGGCCTCCAAAGGGGTTACGTGTTACTAGCATAGCCCAGAGGCCAGCTGCCTGTCCCATTGTTTAAAAAGTTATTTCTTCTTCAAATATTGTGCCTGAGTTTCATGACGCTGCAGGGAATAAGCCACCAAATACAAGTATGGGAGCATAGTAAACTAAGAAGAAATGGAATTATGCAGAGAAATCAGAAGCTTCGCGGTCAAATATGGATAGAAATGTGAGACATTGGTGCGAGTTGTAGATCATGTGGCAGAAATTCACCTAACAGTAATGAGAACACAATCTTGTGGCAATAAATAGTTACGTGATCACCGGAACAATTTGGCGTCAAAACGGTGTCTGAGCTGGGAGGCGCATTATTTCACACAATATGGATCACAAAGAGCGTCACGAGCACAACTACAAGCCTCGATCAATCGCTCACCCTACTCATGTTTCGAAAGAAACAGCTCTACGTGGAGTTTATGGACGGCCGGCTACAAGTATCTGGGAAATAAGGCTTTTAGCCAATTCGTATGCTACCAACTTCGAATTTCATAGCAAAGATATTACAAGAGGGTGAAAATATCTTCCGAAATTCACATATATTTATAGCAATTTTTCAAATATCCAAGTCTCTGTAATTAAGGTCATCAGCATACCTGAAATGCTACAGCAAGTCATGTGATTGAGTGGAAATAATGAATTAGTAACAAAGGAAAATACTTCAGACTACTCAAGCTACTACTTATTGTTGTTATTCAAATAGAAATCAGAGCTGACCAGTGATAACATGCCTTTGTAACCTTGTTACCAGTGAATTGACCTACATCAGTGGTGACACTCCCAAATCAACCATCAAAGACGTGACAAGCCGACCTTTGGAGAGAGAAAGAATGAGGACTCACTCCATTGACTTCACGAGGATGGGCGCAACTCCGGAGAGCCCGTGGAAGAGGTCAGCAATTTTGGCCTCGCCGGCATCCTCGGGCAGACCGGAGACGTGGAGGACGGTGTTGGGTGCACAGATATTGTGGAAGTTGCGTGAGTTTGAGGAGCGAAAGCGATGAAGACGACTGCCCGTGTAGTCGCGGGTCAGTTCGGCCTCCATCTCACCCGCCGGCATCACGCTAAGGTGTCTAGAAGGCTGGCAGCGCAAGATTCGACCCAATAATGGAATCCCGTTCAGGTGCTGAAGGGCTGAATGAGACAATTATTGTAGCAGATACATATCTCTGCGCTTGTCCATCGGTCCTGCTCATTCAAAGTGATGGATAGAAGTTAAACCAGGTACATTTAGTATTGCTAAGAAAAAAAGCCAATGGCCTTGAAGTAGCAATAATAAGGGGTATCTGAACAGTTCTCTCGTAAAAAGAAACTTCATTTGGGATGAGCCTTCTGACCTTTCCCACTCAGTAAAATAGATCAGAAGAGAATCTTAGATTTTCCTAGCCAAATAGATAATTATGGGCAGTTTAATACCCATTAGTGGTGCAACTTTTCGAACATGATAGAAAAATGAAGGCATGATTTTGTAACTTGAAAACAAAGACCAAACACCTCTTTTGAAGAATACCACTATCCAAGCCTTGCCACACAGCTTATTTTATTAGAATAACCGCTTTTTACAGAAAACCGTCTTCCTTTCTAAAAGAATTTTTAAAGAAAGATTTACAAACACTTTAAGTTTGAAAAAAAATCATTCACAAGTGGACTGGAGTTACTTCAACCTACCCAGGTTCGCCTGATTTGCATCGGAAAATTGGACCAAAGCGGAGTCCTTCTTGTTGTAAAGAATTTTCACACGCTGTACATCTCCGTATACGCCTGAAAAGGGGGAGTATTTCCTGCTAGGACATCACATCAAACTAGATGTCATAAAAAGGCCTACTGGTTTTAAAGGACTTCGCCAACCTCGTGGGTTGCTACATGAACAGGAAGTGGAAAATCCCATAATTCAGCATATTTTCCAATCCCTCCTAGCCTGCTTGAGCTCATGTAAAACACATGTCACTCATTAAATGCGTTAGCAGAGAGAACAAAAAGGTCTAGAGAAGAAGAGAATTGGGCGGCATGAGAGAGGTGACTGAAGCAAAGACACTACCGAACAGGGTGAAGAGGATGTCCAGCGTGATCTCCTGTTATATCCGCATGAAGATCATTGTTTGCGAAGTCCCCATTAGAAGTAGAGAAGGAGGATGAGAGAAGTCGTGAGAGAGGGAGAGTTAGTAGAAGTTCAGAGATCCAGCCAGATATGGCAAGAGGTTGAAGGTAGAGGCGGTAGAGAGGAGCAGGAGAGTGAGGAGAGGCAGTAAAACAAAGCGAGTTAGTTTGGCGAAGGCACAGGAAATCAGCCCAATAAACATTAACCGTCGCACGGAAAGATTTCTGAAATTAAGCTCTTCCACTGTTACATAGGCTGTTACCAGGTAAACCCTTTGCTAGTAACACTCGCATGCACATCAAAACGGACAAGTTGCATGTCATACCTCGGCATTCAATTGAGTGACCAGAAGGACTGGTGACCCAGTTGGCATGTTGGCAGCCTGATTAACAACTGTACCGCCACCGGCAGCAGTCAACTCGGCAAAACCTTTGCCCCCGGCGGTGATGCTACTATTGGCGGCAATATGGACCAGTGGGACCAACTGTTGGATACTGTTGGCCTGCGTCTGCAAGTGCTGACTTTGTGACTCGGGAAATCTTGAGGCCGCAATAGCTACACAGAGGCCAATGCAGAGGAAAATTACTCGTAGTAACAATTCCTTATTTAGCATTCACCGAAAATAGCAGCAACATCCTGAAAATACTAACTCGAGGGGAAATAGCAACATATTCAATTCGGAGGCTTCAAAGATCCTTTTTTAAGGGGAGAGTAGTAGGGACCTTTGTGCCTGTGTCAGGTGGTTCCTTTTAAGAGATTGCTCGAAATCATGTACTTTTAACACGCAAAGCATTTCTCGCCATAAACCTTAGAAGTTTCTACCTTAGACAATGAGCTATTGTCTTTACAGACCATATGACTTGAGCAAAAGCAGAAAAGAAGTCAAAACTGATGATATATGAACAAATATTAACCGGTAAAGAAGCAAACAGGTGTAGCTGCCTTTTGATGTTTAAAAACATACAATTCTTCAGCTTACCCAATGCTTGAGTTACCTCATTAGCAAAAGCGCTAAGGGTCTGAACATCAAGAGAAGCCAAATGTTGCACCGAAGGAAGGCCATTATTGACAGAATGCATGGAGGATAATGCATTGCTGCTAGAACTAGGGATGCACTGAGGAGACATCCATGGTTGTACCCCCACCAGGGCTGTCCCTTGCTGTTGATGGAGATCAGAAAGTTCTGATGATAAAAAGAGCGGATTTTTGGTGAAATCCCGACAGTATTGGCTCTCCTGATGGACATCTAGTTTTTCCATATGCGAGTAGTTGGTCCGGCAGATGCCTCCAGCGACAAATGGACAGCCGTCAAGTTGCTGAGATGGGGAACGATCAATGGACAGACGGAGAGTGTGTAAGACAAAATGTAGAGGTTGGATCAACTTACGTGTTTAGCCACATCGGTCGAAACTGTCTGAGCGAATTCGATAAAGGCTTGTGGATAGGAGCCACTTTTGAAAGTGACAATGCGAAGAATTTGACCAAACTTAAACAGTGCCTAAAAAAATTCGGGTGTCAACTTATCAAGGTTGGAAGCTTTGATGAATTAAAAAATATCACACCAAAGATTTATTAACAAACAACAGGAAAAGTACAATCGACTAAAATAAGTACAATCCCTAAAACCTTTTTGCTACACTGTTTTAGCTAAACTAAACTTTTCACACAGGCAGAAGGAATGCAATAAAAAGACTGAAGAATGCACGCACTTGGTAAAAAGGAACATATCCCAAGGGAGTAGTTGATGGATTTGTGACTTGCATCCAGAGAACCTTTCGCGAGCTACCACTAAGTGGAGATGAAGACCAAGTTAGAGCCCGATGTGCTCTATTCACAGTCTCGATGATTTCAGAGAGAAGGGGACGTTTGGAAGTGGTTGTGAGGTGCGGGTGTTTGGAGTACTGCACGGTGATAGTCTGAGTACCACGAATTACTGGTGGTGAGTAAAGGTCGTAGTAGGTGAGCATGTTCTTGGCGCTCTCCTGTTGCTGAAACTCAAGCATCGCCTAAGACAAATATCAATTAGATTTGAAGTTATCGTGATGGCAATGGCAGTAGGAGATTGTAGCTAACTGAAGTGGAATGTAAAAATTTGGAGTTCAAGTCTGCTGATTAAAATCAAATGCTCACCTGGCCAGTCTTTGTTATAAGGACATTTTCAACTAGGCCAAATGGAATGGCAAGAGTTAGAACTTCTTTTTCACCGACATCTGTGGGCAAGAAACGAATGTAAACCACGGGAGAAGGTTGGTGGTGATCGGGTTTTGACTGTTCACACTAAAATTTGAATAAATTGAGCATACCCTTTTAGCTGTCGATAGCCGATCACAATTGGCCTGTTCGCCAAAATGTGGATACTAAAAATAGGACAGTGGGTCATCTTTCAAAAAGTATAGAATCAAAAGGGTAATTGCAAAATCCACAAACTAGCAAAACGTCTTTTCTCAAAACTAATTTGTATTATAGGAGTCAAAAGGAACATCTGCGAAGAGAAGTATCGTGTTAGAGCTAAGAGACGGCTAATACATTAATAAAATTTAGATATAATAAAAAGAATGCAACCGACAACCTAGGACACTTCTACCAGCGCTTCGTTTACAAATTCTCAGAAACCAAAGAGCAACGGGCCACTCCTTTGAGTTAAAATTAGTGCATAAGAAACCAAGCGGAAAACCACCTGTCTTTTCTGATCAAACATCATGCACACCAAGCAAACCTTTTCAATTTGAGCGCATTGGCAAAGTTGAAATAATCTATGCACCAAAATATGCCAAAGTAAGAAAATACATTTCAGCTCACGATAAATAGCTGTGGTGTATTTGGTTAGGAGAATTACACTTAATGCAGAAATAGCAAATTGCTTGCGAGAACCCGCCAATCCTTGAGGCACATTCGGCAGTTTTTTGCACTTCGTCCTTTAGTGCTTATCAGTGCGAAACTCAAATTATTGCACAGAAACTACTATATAACAATCAAAGTTGATATTTTTAGGTTTAATCGCACCGTAAACGACTCAGAAAACACTTGTAGAGCCCTGAGACTTTCCTTAAGACGAAGGAATATGCAATTTTAGATGCAGAAGCAATTGGGGCTACTGTCATGGATCAGAGGTCAGGCTACTCAATACAGGTGCAATGAAAGAGTCTCTGGATTTCCCGCTACCAAAGTCAAGAGTTAAACAAAAAAGCAGCGTACTGCAGAGCACCTCTCCCCTTTTGAGCGTCTTTTAACGGCGATTCTTCTCGTCAACCCTTACAACCCAATCGACGCCGTGAGAAAAGTGCTCACGAGCCACCTGCACCAGTCGCTAAGTTCCAAGGCAGCTCGAAAGGTATCAAACCTCAAATTCTCTGGAACCCCTTAACGAATCAAATGGTCTGGGATGTTGTAGGGTATTGGAGCCGCACCATTCCCCCCTCGTCAGTCGTGAAAACACCGGCCTAAAATGAGCCAGATGACAAAGGAAGGAGTCAAGCACGGTTCCCGACCATTCCTCCTCGCCATTTGGCTCTCACTTCGGTGCTGACCGGCCCCATCCACCTGCGCAGAGTAAAATACCCAAACAAACACCCCTACGCACTCAACACTGAGACAACTTTTTCTCATGCATCACCCATAGACAGAACAGAGTAAATTGCGAAGATACAAGCCGAGCTGTAAAAGAAAACCACTTTCAGCAACATTGCACAAGCCGCCAACTGTTACGTCTTCCACTGTCGCCTTAGCCTCGGTAAAACGATAAAAAAGGAGGGGTGAGTGGCCCCACATCGACATGGTAGTCTGCTGACTAGTAGACTACCATGTCGGGGTTTGCTATTTGCAACAGTGAAAATGCCTATAGGTAACGTTTCAATTTGAACACGGGGACGGTGGGTGGTGCGATGACGTGCACGAAAGGACGTCGCAAAACGCGACCCTCCTCCTTAACCACGGGGTAAAGGGGACTGTCCGGATAGGGCGACAGAGTCTCCGTAGTGATGGTAAAGCGACCATTGCGTAGAGCGATGAGGTCCCAAGTGTCCCTGTTCAACCGCACATTCTCACCTGGATAGATCTCCAGGCCTATCTGCAAGGGAATTAACACCAATGGATCAATAAAAGGGCCAAGAACTGAGCATTATATACATCGCTGCACACACAACGTTAGGCTTGGAAGCAAGGCAATTTCTTAAATCAGGGAAGAAAAATCACTTGCCTGCCGTACTAAAATATCGCCCTTATAGACATGGTCCCCATCATTAAACTGAAAACCTCTCAGAGTCTTTACCAGAACGGGCTTATTGATCTTTTCAGGTTGGTCAGCGTAATTGGGTTTCTTCTTGACAGCAAAGCTTCGCACGAAAGTCTTCAAAACATCTGTGAGAGGCTAAGAATAATACCCTAGACTTACCTCTCCGTAAAACAAGTACGAGTTGTTCCATGTCCAAGGGAGTACAGTATTAGTGGTTCAAGGAGCCGAGAACACAATCACCTTTACCTCCACGGCTCAATGCGATATGACTAAAAATGTTCCAAAAAGTGTGTCTTCAAAAAAATGACGATGGGCAAAGCGGAAAAGGAGTCTGTATACTAGAAATGACACATTTTCATCACAACAAAGGCGCCGAAATATGCAAAAGTGCAACAGACCCAGAGAGTGACAATATATTTTAAAAACTGAACACACAAAGCTTCCAGCACTTGGGTGCAGAAGTAACTTCCCAAATGAAACGAATTAGACGCTCACCCAAACTGCAAAGACCGATTGGTAAATGCACACAGGTTCCAAGTTCGCAATTCTCGGTAGGGTTTGCCATCACATAAACAAACCCGCCAAGGACAAATTTTTATCACTTCAGATATTTAAAGAAATAGTTTATAATTTACTCTTATCACAAATTTTATTGTATAGTTTTATTTTAACAGATACTATAGGTAAATAAAAATATCTATTCACACAAGTTTTTGATTATTTGTTAGAATTCTATTGTCGATCATAAAGGTAAAGTTGAACATTTGGTTAAACAATTACCTAGTAGCGCAGCCTAAATAAGATTAAAATATTTTTCCAATCTTACTAAATAAGTGAATGCCAGGATAACAATCGACATTGCTATAACAGCATCTCCGTTAAGGAAAATCGGAATTTTTAAGAAGGTACTTTGACAGAAGGTTAAGCCCACGGCTGATATTACGCTGATGCGTTGCACCACTTTGGGTGTTGAAATGGCTGGTATGCGGATTCCTCAGGAAAGTCAACTATTTAAGGTGAGCGGATGAATAAACCAGCAATAAAGGTGTCAATTGAAATCCGAAGAAAGTAACGCTTTATAACTCTGTTATGTAAAAATAATCTAACTATAAGTTTGTGCAGACGTTAAAAAGTGTAATGTCTGTCTGTTGAGGCATTCCGACGTTCTGTAAGATAGTCGCATAGCCTGGACCTTAGCGCAATAACATGTTTGCTTAATCCTCGGCTTTAGTGAAGAATCACTTTTGACTTGGCGATTGTACTACGCCAGGTAGGCTGGCCTTTGGGCCATGCCAGTAGCCCCATTACCTTCTGTATGTCGAATATATGTTTTCTGCCTGAGTATTATGCCTTCATTCTTCCTCAGGAAAGTCGCGGGGCGCTGCGTTAGTGTTAGAGTGGATGGGGAATAATCTGTGCCCTCTTTTTCTAGTGGCATGATTAGCGGATTTAACTTGATTTTTGAGATCGCAAAAAACTGGTCTCATAGAGATTATGATTATATGCTTGGAAATCCGATCATAGTTAACTTTAAGAACGGCGAGGCGGAAATTGGTAGAAGTGCGCTTACTTAGTCTATCGGTAATGGATGTCCCACTCAAGTATCTATAGGTGCCTTAAAAATATGGAATGCGTGATTACACAGGGAATGTGAGATATTTTGACGCAATCAAGTTGAATTGGGATGTATAGAATCATTAAGTGGGGTAGTAAAGCATAAGAGGATGGCGCTTACTTACAGTGGAAGCGGTTGTTAATTTGCTTGAAGATCTCTAGGGTGGATGAAAACCCGGATCGAATGGTTGTACATTAACTGCGATATCCGATGAAGATATCAGATAAGTGCAAACTGAATGGAAGCGTATAATGACGATAAGGTATGATAGAATTGTACTTGCTGCAGCCCCAACATTGTCAACAGCTTGCCATTTGTATCGCTATAAGAGACATTTGTTATCTGAGAGACTGTAATATCCTATGGAGAAATTGAAAGTAATGGTTGCGGTCAAAATGTTGTTTTCTTGCAAATACTCTCATCATTTTACGCTTCCCTACTTACTTGCGATTATAGTTTAAACTAATAGAAGTAACCTTAAAATTAGTTTAAGACCTAACTTATTTGCATCACCGAAATTACCAAACTGTGCCATATTTTGGGTGCCAAGCTATTATAATGCTTTAACTGCTAGGTTGGCACTCGGCTTTGGTAAGTTGGCACTTAGAGTTCCATCAATGCAAATCCGCCAAGCGCCCTGGCCTCCGAGCCATGCCGGTAGCCTCCACGTCCTTTTATATGTCGATAACATATATTACGCCCTAGTGTTATTCTACCGTTCATCTTTAGGGAAGTCTCGGGGATCTGCACTGCTGAAAGCAAAAAGCAAACCTCATCTTAAAGGACAGCTGCTTTGACTTATACTGCTGAGTGGTAAACCTTAGCATGAGGTGAGAAGACAGTATTAGCACAGAATATGTATTATAGACGTAGAGAGGGTTTTGGGGGCTGCAGGCCGGGCCGCCCTGTAAAGATACAATGGGGGAGCCCATTAAACAAACCGAGATTTAAACAAACAATTAAAGTATTATAATATCATGCCCGGTAAAATGTGAAGGCACTAGTTCAGATCAACGCTTGTTCAGACTTCCACGAGGGATTTGTAAAGTGTGATCATTTAAATAGTCGAATTCCACCGAAGCAGGCAGTTGTTTACGTTGCCTTAACTATTTCGGATATGCTGATGTGTAGGTTAAAATTTATGATAAAACTGACTTTGTCCCCCCAAGTGCACAAGTGATAAGCATTAAGAGTTTGTAATATCTCAGTTTTGGTAATGGACCACTCGGGGCTCCGCCACTGCACTTCTTCTGGGCGGCCTGGCTTCCTGGCCATGGCAGTAGCCCAAATCCCACTGTACGTCAACAATGCATATTCTACCCTAATATTATGTATTCTTTCATCTTTGGGGAATTTTTGGGGCACTACAGCATTTTTCTGATAGGTGATTACCTCACTGTCAGGGCCGATTCGAGATGCTTTCAAATCGCCGCGCACGCCGCACCCGAGCGCGTACGAACCGACGAGGCAGCGCAACGCAACAACACCCACGCATCCCCAGGCTAGGGATCTGCCCTCCAGATATGCTCTCCTACCATGGCAATGTCACAATCTCCTAAAGTAAGACTATCCAATGAAACAGCACCAAAGAGAAAACGTCCAGAAAGACGATCATAGAGCAGCAAGTTTATCCAAGAAAGAAATTAACCCCCTTTCGCCAGACTGATTTTTGCGTCCTATTTCCCAAACATTATAAACCCTCTTTGCTTCGGGAAGACATTAGATACAAGACTTGGAAAAATTTTCCCATATCACAAAAATACAGAAAAAAAGAGTAGCTTTAGCATGGCATGAAAAAAGTGTCAGGGAAGTCCCTTTGGCGAGAGACAGGTCAGAAGCTGATGGGTAAGAAGGGCCGTAGCTCCTGTGATTCTAGGAAGCTCGACGCTTCCGGGAGAGCCCCCAAACACAGGCAAGGAAAAAGTAACGTTTTTATGGGGTTTGCGCGAAGTTGAGCAGGGCGAGCCAAGAAAGGATGTCGCTCCAGTGAAGGGAAGGCACGAACGTTCACGGTAAACACAGTATTTTCGACATGCTGGATTTAAAAGCCAGTTTATTGAGCGAAAAACGACCATTTCCACCTCACGGGGGCTGGGTCGGAGACGAGCGCATCGTAGTGATCCGCCGACTCGTTGGCTAATTGTGTCCTCTAATGGATCGTAGTTACCGATGAATCCAACTAATGGATGGATGAGGCTCGGTGTCGTCTAGAATGAGAAAGTGAATTTAAATATATTCATAAACTTCAGCCAGTAGTCGTTTCATTAATTGTTCAAGCACTTCAAATTGTGACTAACAAGACGACACCAATTAATAGACAAAAGAATTAGAGAGCTAATACCTAAGCATTTAATAGCATTAAAGTATTGGGGGAATGACCCCAAAACAAGGAGAACGGCTGTCCCAGGTTCATTGAACTCTGATATGACCAGTCCAACCATTCTAGACATTCAATCCTAAACTATCAAACCGTGTGCACTCAACCATCTACCCATCCCAGATATATCTATTTCGGGTCCATTCATCATCATCTGACACCAAATAAATCACTTCTACCTAGAGGCTGGTCAATAACCGAGGAGGAGTTCGCACTTTCCGCACATACCCTTGTAGGGAAGGGGGCGAAGGTAGTCCAGGAATCCACAAAACTGGGCGGGATTCCAACCTCTTCCTCCAATTCCCGTAATGCCGCTTCAACCACACTCTCACTAGGCTCTACTCTTCCGCCAGGAAAGCTAAACATGATAAATGAAAGTCTGTGAATGGTATGGGGGAAGTGAGAGTAGAAGGATAATACGTATCCGAGACATTACCTCATCACACCGGGGAAATGACGCACGAGAAGACTGCGTTTTGTGAAGAGGATAGCGGGATGGTGGCCGTCGTAATAGCAGAGAGGAATGAGGACAGCTGAATCGAAGGCTCCATCTGGTCTAGGTCGGACTGGTGTCAGCCGCTGCAGCAACGAGATGCAGCGCTGTCTGTTGACGGAACCAAAGAGTTCTGCTACTCCAGGCATCCACACACTTATAAGGGAAGTGATTAAAAGTGGAATGGTAACACAAGGTTATGAACATGTTCAGGAGTGAAGCAGGAAAATAGCTACTCTCTAGCCATAAAAAGAAAAGGGTACTGACACCCTACAGAAAAGAAAATTACCAATGTATTTGATGCCGGAACCTAGTATTGATGCTACCTATAAGCAATAGATTTTGAAAGACCGGGAAAGTATATCGGGTGACTCCTAGTTACTAACGGGCAAAAAATTCCAACATTTCGAATTTGGGATCTTAAATTACGACGCATACCAAGCGAATGAAATACTGACACGAGAAAAACACTCCCCTCCCTCCTACTGGTTAGAAGCTTTGCAATCAAAAAGGTGCCTTAATAAGGTCAAGCTAAATTCCATTCTTCTAACATCGTGGACCCGAAGATAGTAAAGATGATGTACTCCAACGTTCTATGCAAACTACATCGTACTTAAAAATAAAAAACATTAGTTTGTTAGGTACGTTAAGGCAAAAATGTGTCGAATTGAAGCCCACGTCGAGTTCGTTCGGTTAATATTTTCACTAATACACATGGAAAATTACGAATTATGCAATAATACATCTTGGTGATAGATTTGTAAGCAATAAAAATATTCTTTTTGAATGGGACAATTTTGTGTTAGTTCAGCTACACAGTCCAGAGGGAGCTTCAAACAGGCATTTGTGCTCTTTCACCGCAGTCACTTTACTAAAACAAACCCATTTTTTGGTTACCCATATTTGTTTTTGAATGACCTAAACTGTACTCTCACTAGCAGTAAAAGAATGCCACACTGTGGAATTTATCAACATGCTGATCTCTAAGGAGCGCCTTACTCCGCCTAGGTGGATTCATCAGAATTAAAACATTTTTGGAAATCAAGATCCGTAGCTTAGCCAAAAGTGATAGGGGCACCGTGGAAGGTGCCACTAAGTAAACGGATAGGAGAAGTTTACTATTCCGGAAATTTAATTTACGCACTGACATTAGCATCCCAAAATGAACTCACTTCCTATCCCCTAACCCCTTAATGTAATCTATTAAAAAATGAATCAAGGTAAAATCAAGGCGCCTCCTCATATTTCAGATCTGCCTGATCTAATTCGAATTCCTTAGTACTGTTAAACATTAATACTTTATAGATGATAGCAGAATGCTTGGCAGCAAATACGGCGTTTGATGTATGAAACGTCTAGCACATCGGCGCCCTGGTTTCACTGTTCATGCCACAAAAGTGGTCTTCTGCGGGCAGAGTGAGGTCCACCTTGGTAGAGTCAACGAAACGGTAAACTTTACACCAATTGGAATATGGAGATCCCTCAAAAGCCTCCTTCGCTCCTTCAGCCTTGGCCACACTCACGCCACCACGCAGTCCATGGAGATACACCGATGGCCTCGGCACTTGGCTATAGTTGTCTCGCTTTGTTTGATTGCATTTTAATCTGTAAGTCGATACAAAACGAGTGAAACACTTACGCGGTTAGTGTGTAATATGTGTGGCACAACTTATTTTAATTACCACCCAAGATTTCCGAGACATGGTGTCTCATATCACAGGCACAAATTTCTATATCGTGGAAATAATGATTCCCTCCGACCTCCAATACCTCTTGCTTCATGTTAAAGGCAAGCAATGCCATGGCTCCTTACCTGGGAAGGTATACTTGTGTATCATTGTCCCGCCGCCAATTGCTTAAATGCGTTTGCACACTGTGGGTCACACACTTGCGAACGTATGTCTAAAACACAAACATTTGCAAGAGTAGGCAGTTTTGAAGTCAAATGTTGATACACCAAGGTGAAATGCAAAAAAGTGTGAAGAGTAAAACTGTCATTATCAGTGCAGTGTTTGAATTCTTGTGCAATTCGCGGCTAATCTCACCACTTACCATTTGCAATGCCCGTCTTCTAAGTTCCCATTCATTCCACGTGTATTTCGTGTCTATATGACGTGGAATGGGATGAACTACAGTCTGACTGCCCTGATCAGTCAGTTGCTTTGGCTCCACGGCGTCCTCCTCATTCTAAAACACGAGTCGTGAAAAAAACTACTGAAATTCGGCAGCATTTACTTAATAATTTTTTGATTAGGACAGAGCCTGAGCTGGTTTAAAAAGAACATGGAGAGACAGAACTTGAAGTAGTTCATATTTTGGAAGTGAAATAAATTTAGCAATGCATGTCTTCCTTTCCAGAGAACATTCCAAGAATATGCGAAAAAGGAAGAGTCCATTTATATGGTTTATCATAAGAAAATTACACGGCAAGTATTAATTGCTTACAGGGAAGAATGCGCTTCCCTCTTGGAAAGTTGAGGCCATACTGAGGAGGTCTATCAGTTCGGGGTTATTGCGAGCAACTTCATTGAGCTCTGCAATGAACCTATCAATATGCTGAGACATTAGCAATAACATAAAAGCATGAAAAATTTGTCATGTTGATGTCTCATTTTCAAGAGGGTGTTGCAAAGACACATTATTGTGTCATTTTATTTGCCCAGCTTGAAATCCCCAAGTTTACCTAAGTTGGAGAGATACTTGTGAATAATGTGCATGAGAAGCCGCAAGTTGATACAATTAGAGCGAAAATCCCCTTGATATTGAGAATGTATGAGAATGAAAATTGTTTGGACAGGAAAACTAACTTTTCGGGTGCAGAACCGAATTCCACGGCAGCTTCCACGGACGAAAATCCATACTTTTTCCCCTCGAACGCATACACTCCAATCCAGGGTGTGCAGGGAATTGGCAGACCTTGGTAGCGAACGATAGACCATGCACAAAACCCCTTGAGACACAATGTTTAAATAGAATAAGAACTTACATTCAAGTCGACTTTTACCTCTGAACCTGGTGTCGGAAATGCCCATTGGGATCCATCCTCCTTTTTGGGTTTAACTCTCGTGGTAGCCTTCTACAAAAAACCGCCATGAGAAATAGTTGACTCAGTAATTATTTGCAAAAACCTAAATGATTTACTTTTCGCATTTCATCACACACAACTTCAGCCTCGTGGATCAAGTTGAGCAGTCGCGAAGCCTCCAAAAGAACATACCGACGGAAGCTGAATTGCTGAAGACTGTTGAGTAGGTTTGAGAGCATTGCAATAAAGGTCACGTTTTCTTTGAATTTCATCCACAGTCTGGACAACTCGAGCAAATGTTTCTAAAATGTGCACGGGGAATCCCCAAAACATTGAAATGCATCTAAAAGCTGGAATGACCCAACATGGAATAATTCACGGAGGTTGTTCAATTTTACCCTGCACTTCTCGTGGAAGATTGCATTTCTCTAACTATATTCTCGAAAGAAATTGGAATTCGGCTAAATCGGAATGCTGCTGGAATCTTTTGAAGGCCAAATAATGCAACGTAATTTCTGAGGCCAAAATTCAAATAAAACTTAACACACACTAAAAGAAAATACCACTGGTAAATGAAAAGCAACATTTTTAGATGTCCTCAGTGGCATTTGTTTCAAATCTCATAATATTTTTTCAACGGCAAAAGCGAAACCCATTGATACGTATTCTATGAGATTTTGGAAAGTGGGGCATGATTTCCCCCTCTGCTTAGGGAACAAAATTAAGCAGACCTTCCTGATTTCCCTAATTTTGAACAGCTAAATGAACATTCATGAATGAAAATGGAGAAGGAATAATGCACCAAGTGCCTGCCTTCTCCCCTTAGGGGGCTCTCAAACCATTTAATCCAGCATGTAAAAATGCTTACCCATCCCATTCTCGTACAAATCCCACCTCATATTTTACAAGGGTTAAGATATGACAAATAAGGTCATCATACTTAAGTGATAACAAGGCACAGTGGGAAAAACAATCAGAAATCCCAGCAAAACAATGAGAATTACACCATTCGCTACAACCCAAGACACATGCTTGGGGGGATAGCTATAGCACTTACTATTTCCGTGTACAGTGTATGATAAGAGAGATTAGTAAAAAGTAGAGCTACCTGGAAAGATGGATGGAGAGTATTCTGGTTAGCCCTGAGGCAATTCAGAATCTCACCGAGGACTAACACCAGCTTCTCCTTGTCCTCTCGGTGGCCACTCTCCAGACTGACAAGGTCTCTACGTATCAGACGCAGGTAGACCGCCAATTGCCGCGCGTTAATGGTCGCTGCCTTTAAGAGGCTTCGTGAGATACCCATCTTCTCGGCTTCGATGGCCGATACATTAGCCTGAGTTTCGGTATTCACGTCAACAGCCGCAAGTTTCAGATAAAGACCTGCATAAATTAGCAGTGTGATTAAAAAAAGCAAAAGTCCGGGCGCTTTTGGTTTTATTTTACGACACAGTTCGGAAAAAAGTTTCCTACATGATAATTAATTACTATTTAACATAACTTCCATTCACTCAGGCTTGTTTGAAACCATTTACAAGTGATCATCCCTAAGCAGCATCTTTTAATCAGTCAGTTGCAAGTTACCATTCTTGTAAATAAAATTTTTTTAGATCAAGAAGTTGACATGTGCCAAAAAATTGAGGCATACTTGTAAAAAGCGAAGCATAAGTCTCGACCTCCTTCAGCTGTTTGTCTAATGTTTCTACTGTTGTACGTACGCCCTCTTCAGCTAGTTCAGGCACTAAAACGAAATATTTTTGGCACTAGTTCTAAAACATCAGAGCATTCCATAACTTTTCTAGTTTTAATAAATTTTGAATTTGCTGACAGGGTAACTAAATACATATTAGTGTTGAAAACCCAGAACCCTCAAAAAAGCAGTTGCAATAAGGAAAAATATTCTGCTTCAGTTATACTGCAATTTATAGAATTATGAAGACAAATTAAGCTTTTAAAGTAACGTGAAAACGTAAGGCGTTCTAACAGGCGAAAATGCCAATTTTGAAAGAACTGACAAACGAAACTCACGATTGTCAATGCCTTCACCACCAAAACCCAGGCTGAAGTTGTAAACCCGTGTTCCCAAAACAAGTTCTACAAGCTCGAAAAACTTTTGTTCACGCCTTTGTGGATGCATGAAGCAAAACTTTGGCGTTTCATCTATTGGCAGATACGTTTGCAGTATAGCTGGATGAGAAGAATATCAAGAAGTGGTGAGAATACCAAATAATTATTTTATAGGTGTGGACTAGCACCAAACACCTCAAATACTGAATAATCTCTAAAACAAGCGTTCGAGCTGTGTGGTAAACAAAATAAGGCCTTCTATGTTAGAAGTACAATGCAATAACATAGCAAGCAAATCACACATGTGGCTTCTCTGATAGCCGTTATGCGGTTCGACAACCCAAGTCCAGGATAAAGAAGAGTTCCAAAGATGATAAACCGATAGACCTTTTCATATTCTTCCGGAGAATTCCTGACAGGAGCACATATTTTTTCTAGTATAGGCTTGAAACGAGTTGCGACAACACCTTCATGTTCCTTCAGAAATAAGTCTGAAAACATTAGCGCCTATTTAGTAAACAATTGAGAAACAAACTTTGTGCGATATCCTCATCGTGAAATTATGTAACATTTATATGGCCAACACTCATACAACATAAATGTTTTCATCATTCAGACGCTAAGCCAATAAAACCAAGAATTAGAGTAAGATTTTTAGATAAACACGAGTCTACATTAATTTAAAAGCTAATATTATTTAAATTGCCTGTATTTAACAAGCAGAGAATAAGGGGAGTCTCCAGACGGTATTTTAAGCAATAATATATTCACCTCTTGACATATAGTTCATATCGAAAAAAACTTGCATTCTGATAGTATCTAGCGTGGGTGAATTTCGCTCCGTTATCCGATCAACACACATCTGCCTTAATCATTAATTAATGAAGGACTACCTGTTTCAACCTTCGCATATCCTCGTTAGAAAGAACCTTATTTTCAGGAAATTTATTGTCTTTGTTTATTAAAATTGCTTTGATCTTACAATACTAAAGCGCAAAATTTAATTTTTACCATAAACGCAGCTAAAGGTTCTGATATTCGCTCTCCCCTCATTTTACACTCATTAATAATATCGGATACAATAGAGTTAATAATAGATTCAGCTTCATCTTTGCTACCCAGAGGCGTAAATGTACTACAAGCAACTGCCATGTGGAACCAAAAAGGCACGTAAAAGCGTAGCCGTGACAATAAAGTTTATGTACCTCAAGTGAGTGATCAAAACAAAAGCCCTAAATATCATACTCCCCCACTGTTTCAAGTAAACAAACCCAAAAATATACATCTGTTGTCATAAAACAAGTCTCTTGATCATTTTAAAGGAATGTAAGATAAAGTCGTTAGATTAAGATGTCAGTCAATATTTGTCCTTTATGAAACGAACGCTTTTTCCCTATACAGCAGTAGCGTCAATAAATTGCATTAAAATTAGTGTTTGATTTTAATTTCCCTTTTCCGCTGACAAAAAGAACGGCCAAAGTATGGACGGTTGCCTTCAAATTAGAGTGTATCCAATTTCAGTTGACCTTATCAATATTATTATTTCGTAGCTACTTCAAAAGGCATTTGTAGACTACTTTTTGGCTTTGATAGCTAACGCTCTTATAGCTATACACTTTCCAAATAGTTTAGTTTAGAATTTTGACTTGTATGCGCTAAGTACACTATGCCCTCTGTTACTCGACACTTCATCAACGATTTAAAATAGGTGGTATGTGAGCAAAGGGAAAACATTGTGTCGGCAGCAGTGGCTAAGGCTTATATGTTTCACCTTAAAAAAACTTTTACTTCTGCAAGGAGTGCCAGAATTTGGTAAAGAACACTTTCTCGAAGCACAACATTTGCACATCTCACTAGACAAGCTACCTGGTAAGGAATCCAACTCCTTTAAATATCAAATAAAGTTAGCAGAGAAGAGCGAAAGGGGTTTATTTCAATTCCTAGATCTAGAAACGACAGTAAAACCAAAGCAAACGTCATGGCACCATGGATGTCAAGGCATTAAGCCCATATTAGTGAGCCCGCAATTGTGCTATCCTGTCTGCTTCACAGCGACTTCCATCCTGAAAGGAGTTTCTTGATAATTATTAATTGAGTTAGACGCATTTTGACTCATGATAAATTTCTAGGTTTTCCGCATCTTAGATAAAATTTCACTGTTACATTGTTTTTACGTTTGAGTGAAAGCAAAGACGTGCCATTAAACAAACAAACGACCCTCGTGTGCTCAGAATAAACTTGAGATGCAACTCTAAGGGCTGAATCCCAACGCAATACCATGGTTATTTGGCGGTGCGCGACTTGACTGCCAATCGAAATAATAAACCCATTATAGAATGTTTCCCACAGTTACGTGACAAAGAATGCTGTAATAACATTTATTGAGACCTCGGCCATACCTATTAAAATTTTGGTCAACCTCTATTTAGGTTTCGTTCACATCACCAACTCGTACAGAACAGAATTCCAAAAGCAATTCAAGTATGCGAATATTATCACCTGGAAGTTTTCTCAGCCTGGAGGAGCAGATAATTCAGAGAACACGGATCGATCTGGCAACCACCGAGATGCATCCTTCTTCCATATTTGGAAGAGGCTAGCCGGATGGTAGGCGATGTGTTCAAAGACGAGGCCGCTAAACCCCTCCCTTTACCTGGGCTTATCTCACTAGCCTAGTAAAGAAAGAGGATGGAAGCCCTGGGTAGGGGGCTGACTGTGGAAAATTAAAGGCAGTACACAAGATTTTCTACTCGCCTTAAAGTGATTCTCACCGGTGTGTTTAAAATTTGCATACAAGTAGGCAGAAATTCTATACCGGAATAAGGGAAGACTGCTTGTTGACTATTTAGTGACCTTTATGGATTAAAATGATCTCCTCTGGACTCCACAACAAAGCATTCTTATTTCAGAAACTTTTCCGAGCGCTTCCCAGCAAATTATTTTAAAATCCTGTAAATAGGCCAGGTAAAGTCACACCCAAGCAAGACAGATACATAAAGCTAGTTTCAGAATAACTGTAAGATCCATATATGAAGCTGAAACTCCAATTTAACTATTTTTAACAAAGGCTAGTAAGGTTTCTGGAACACACCCTTTCCTCAAAAGGAGTGTAAATCATGGAGAACAGAAAGCAACAAGTTAGTGTGATCAACACCATTTAACTAAATTTTGTATTGTAATTTACCGACTATTTCAAAGTACTGCAAACTTTCCGACAAAGATGTTGCTAAAATCACAAATTCTTAACATATAACACCGGAAAAGTGGACTTCGAAAATGTGTGCCAGAAAGAAGAGCATGACGATGGCTTCTGAAGTACTAAAGCAGGTGCCTTGCTCGCTGATGCTAACAATACTGCTGGAGACAGGGCACTACATCCAGAGGATAAACAAGATTGAAAGCATGCCTTCGCTAAAGCTACCGTTTGACTCAGCAGATGAAATGAAAAAGCGTTGTCTAACAGGAATTCTTGCCACTTTTATGGAAGTCAAGCACTTTAGACATTATGCGGTAGCAAGGGTATGGACCGCTCAGTGGCCCGTCGGTAATTAAAAATATTGCAGCGGTACAGTTTCACCTTACCATGTAGGGAGAAATTCGACGTCGTATCGCAAATTAGACCACCTTCTGGACTAGCCTAAAAAAATTCAGTAGATGACTGCAAAATACCACTTCCGATACCGGTCCTTACAACAGCTTTCAACCCCTTTTCACCCAAATGTTAACAGAGGGTAAACTTAAATTATCCCTGGGGCATGACACGTTGGTTTGAAAGACCTGAACGACTGAAAATTATAGGTTCATTAGGGTAAACTGTCCCTCAGGATATGTACAATAAAGTAAATTTAGAAGGAGAAAAAAGGGAATAGGTTGTTTTGACACCTAGCTACCCAAAACAATTTTTAGGGCAATGGTGAAAGTGATTACAATGTGGACAGCGTTTGTGAAGGGATGTTGCAATATTACCTAAGCACTCAAATGGTGCGATGTGACAAAGTGAACTTGACCGCCATTTAATATAGACTACTTAATAACAATAGAATTCTTTGCGATTTGCATCTGCAAACCTGACAGTACCTCGTAACAAAGACTGGACTGGGTATTATAGATTGGGCAGCATGGCAGCACGGCTCACTAGTTTCACGAGAACGGGTTTTGAAGTCCTCTATTTTTAAACCCTCCATATTTACTAACATGCCAGTGGTAAATCAGGGAAAGGTCGACTCCCTGTCTTCCGTGCTCCTCTTAATTTTTCATGAGAGGTATGCTCGTCGTATTTAATTTAAAAACTAAGCAAACCAGTGACCAAGTGGAGAGATCAAGGCTTTAAACCGTTTGTTGGTAACAGCTGGAAACAAATCTCGAAGTCTACAGATTGCTGGAGCAGTTCATTACTCCATCAGAAGTACCTCCATCGGTGGAACTAATGGTCTAATGTTAATGCCGATTACTTTGCTTCTGCACTTTGTCTGTCTATTCACGGGAT